CACCTTTTTGGTACAATAATTTCTCTCAACTAACTTATTTTCCCATTTTTGCGCAGCTTTGAAAACATGATTAGAGTATTGCTAATCTGTGTTTAAAAATAAATGCAGACCCTTGTAGACGAATTCTTTTGGATTGGACAAAACGTGTTCAAATCATAGAGGGGTTATCCAAGGGCTAGTGTATCTCCAAGATATTCGAGATTGATTTATTCATCGAGACCTAAAACTTAGTAATTATTATTGATGGAAGATATGAAGCCTAAAATATCAGATTTTGGTATAGCCAAAATTTGAGGATGATCATCAAACAGAACGAATCATTGGGACATAGTAAGTACAACATCAATCTTCTTTTTCTATATTGCTTTGTAGCTTGCACTTATTAAGACACATGCTTAGCACACTATCTAATAATTCAATGCAGTGGTTATATCCCTCCTGAGTACGTCAAAAGCGGCATATATTCAATAAACTTGATGTCTATAGTTTTGGGGTTCTACTTCTACAAATCATAAGTGTAAAAGAGGTTTCATCTTATATGGCCCACATGAAGACTTGAGCCTTCTAAGCATGTAAGTTTCCCCAAGAACAGGCCATTAATGTTACTAATTAGTATTGGAAATATTTAATTCGATTGTATATTTTCATGTAAAATTTTAGGCATATGAGTCGTGGAAAGATGACAAGGCATGGAGTTGTGGATCATCATTAGATGATACACAATCCTGTAAATTAATGAGATGCTTACAAATAGCTCTACTATGTGTTCAAGAAAACCAAAATGATAGACCCTCTATGTTAGAAATTCCTCATGCTCAAACTGGATCCACAAATACAAATCAGCCCCAAGAAGCCTGCTTTCTCAGAACAAGTGATGAAAAGAAAATGACTAAAAGTTCAGGATAATTTCGGTTGATGATGCAACAATTTCTGAAGTGGTAGCAAGATGACTCTAGGCTTTTGCAGTCCAATATTTGGTGTGTCCTTGGAGATCGGGTGGGATGCTTAATTTGACCATATAATTTTCTGCAATATTATTGAACCTATTGCCATTAAACATGGATGCCAACTATGAAAGCGATTAATTGGTTGTAGTTTCTTCTGTATTATATGGATAATTCAAAGAAAAGGTCAATACGATGATTTGATGAGGCTTTCAGTTTATTGGTTTACTTTAAGCTTATTTTTGTTTCCAAGAAAATAATAGGAAATGTATGATAAGACTTACCAATAATGTAGGGTCAAAGTTTGGCAATTTCCATTTTTGACCTTTAATTTTCTGGATTTTACTAATTTCTTTGTCCTAAAAATTAATTGTCTATGTATTTAGAATCTAATATCTGAATCTCACATCCACTAAATTTGACTTAAGGTCGGGGTTCTCCCACCTATCAGACCCCATATAAATTTTCTAGCGTGAAAATTGACCAAGAGCATTAACAGTGAGCTATCTTCTCTATAAATTCACCATAGCCATACTTAATTGCCATGAGCTTTCTTCGATGGCGAGCAAAATTATTACTAGTATTGCCTTTCATATTTTCCTCTCTTTAGCAATAAATCAACCAGCAAAATCACAAGTTTGGGTAAAAGCCGGTTACTGGTATAAAGGTACCGGTTTTGCCGTTTCGGAGATTAATTCTGCTCTCTTTACTCACCTTCTTTGCGCTTTCGCCGATCTGAATTCCACCTCCTACGAGCTCTCTATTCCACCTTCCGATGAAAATAAATTCTCCACTTTCACAGAAACTGTGAAACGAAAAAACCCATCAGTCACTACACTTCTATCCATTTGGGGGGGGTGGTGGTGAACTTCAACCCTTTCACTTCAACCCTTTCAACCAGCTATCCTCTAATGGCGAGCAATCCTTCTTACAGAATGTTAAATATGGAAGCCTGAAACAGCGTCGTTTAAGGGATACTAATACGGCGTCGTTTTAGGCATATTAACTTGGGCGAATTCAGACCACAGGATGCGTTTCAAATTGAACGGCCAAGATCACTCAAAGAGTCAAACCATATATAAGCAAATGTTCTTTCAGTTTTCAAGGGAGAAAACAGATAGACAGTGGCTAGGGTTATTTGAGTCGTTTCTCTTTCTCTGTGTTAGGGTTCATATTCTACATTCCAAATCGTGTGTGTATCAGTCGAGTGATTAGGGCTTTAATCATTCAGGTGAGAGTGTTGTCCTCTCGGGTTGGGATATTCATCGGGTATCTTGTAAGGCTGATAGCCGTGTAAACGGGGAGATCTGGTGAGTGTTGAATCTGTGTAATCTTGACTGGTTTCTGGTAATCAAAGTGCAGCGAGCTCATACCATTCTTGAGCTCAACGTGGATGTAGCTTATCCATAAAAGGATAAGTGAACCACGGTAAATCGTTGTTTGTTTGTTTGTTTGATTTTGTGGTATTCTTGTGTTTCTTGGTTTGTTTGTGTTGCGGTGATAGATCAGTTTTTGCTATTATAGTATAACACAGAAAATCTTTCATTGCCTCCACGATGAAAATAGCCAGGCTTTACGGCTTTGAAGGCCTAGACCTTGCTTGGATTCCCGGATTATCAAGCTCTGACATGACTAACACGGGCACTCTCTTTCAAGATTGGCAAGCCGCAATAGAATTAGAGGCAAAAAAGTCTAGCCAGTCACCACTGATTTTGACCACGAGGGTCGATTATACACCAAATGGTATACGTCCAGGAAGTTACCCAACACAGTCGATACAGAATTACTTGTATTGGATTCATGTTCAAGCTAGTGATTACAACAGGCCAGAGTGGTCGAACTTTACAAGGGCTCATGCAGCTCTGTACAACCCAACCAGTATTCTTAGTGGCGATTATGGTATAAGAACTTGGATTGAAGGAGGAGTGTCCGCAAATAAGTTGGTTTTGTGTTTGCCTTAACGATATTGGCGTAGTAGCTATCGGACCAGCCATTACAGCAGATGGGTTTTTGCGGTATTATCACATCAAGAATAGCATAAAGGGGAATAAAGACATTCAAGTTAAGTACGATGCAGATTATGTGGTTAATTACTGCACAATTGGGAACATTTGGATTGGTTTTGATGATGTAAAGGTGGTGAAAACTAAAGTTTTTTATGCCAAGGAGAAGGGGCTGCCCGGTTACTATGTGTGGGAAGTCCCTTATGATGATGACTGGGTGCTTTCTGAAGCTGCAGCTGCAAGTAAGCAATAATAATTTAATGGTTATTGTCATCTTGCCCATCATTTACGTTATTACTCTAATAATGTCTGTCTATAAGCAACAATATTGTTGATATGGTTTATACTTCTCTTAGCCTTGACGGATTATCGGTTTCTGCCAACTTCTTCGGTTATATGTATTTTTTAATAGTGAAAAACCTAAAGTGTTTAAAAATAGGACGCAACAATGAATTGTCGTCATCTATTTTGTATTTACTGCAGATTTCTGATACTCAATAAAATTCTCTATTTGAATGTTGGGCGTAGTTCTTTAATTAATCGTGTATCTTCTTTACTTTTCTACTTTTATTATTGTATGTATTTTGTTACATTCCACACTGCTGACAAATGACTTTGAGAATAAGTTTATAAGATTTGAATCCTCATAATTAAATAAATGTGTTCCAGGTGAAGAACGTTTACATGATATTACGAGTTTATCATTACTTTTCAGTATGGAAATAGCTAGGAAAGTGTTCCTTAAATTAGCAGTCAAGTTACCCTAAACATTCTTCCTCTTGATTTGCTGTGTATTGTGGAAGTTGCACATAACACTAATTTCCAAAGAGAAATCAGCTTATGGAGCCCCTGCAGTCTCAATCACCTTTTGTGTCTGGTCTTCTAAATATATCTCTTTTGATCTCTCTCTAATAACTCCACAACAGCCAAAAGAAAGCACGTAGAGGCAAAACAAGAAGCCAACACCACAGTTCAATTCCGGTCATAAATTATTTTTAAAAGAACTTGATTAAAAACTGTTGAAGTGAAAGCTTGAAACAATGTCGTTTGAGTAAAGAAGGACGACGTCGTTTTAGACAGGCTACCAGATGAATCTTGACTGTAGAATACACTTCAGATCCAATGGCCAGAATCCAGTCACCAAGTCAACCATATATAAACTCAATTTTTTCGGGTTAATAGAGAAAATCACTATTGGGTTTCTTTGTGCAATTGAGGAGTTAGGGTTTGAGCTTTCGCCGATCTGAATTCCACCTCCTATGTGTTGATTGATTTGAGGTGTTGTAATCGTGATTCTTGAGGTAATAGTAAATGCATCGAGCTCATACCTTTCCTGAGCTCAACGTAGATGTAGCTTATCCTAAAAGGATAAGTGAACCACGGTAAACTTTGTGTTCTTTGTGTTCTTTGTGTTCTTGTGTGGGTTGCATGCGTGAGATTGAATCTGTGTGAAGTTGCTTCATTGCATAACATTGGTATCAAAGCTATTTCTTGGAGTCTAGATCTAGTGATTAAAGAATCATAGTCCCAATAGAAGAAGTTTCAGGAAATTAGGGTTTCGGGAAATTTGGGGGCTTTCCTAAAAATTGGCTTCGTTGAGTCTCCAATTAGATCTAAGGAGTCAGGATTTGAGTGATATTTGTTAATCATGGATAAAGTCTAGGATTCCAGAAATCGCACAAAGATCAAGGCAAGAGGATCTAGGGTTTTCAATTTCGGGCTTTCTAAAATTAACCCGAAAAATTACCACAAACACCACTACATGATTAGAAATAAATCAATACGATGGCAAGATTGACTTCAGAAGCTAGAAGAAGAAGATGAAAGCCCTCCTTTTGCACAACAAGGTTGCAATTGCACTCGAAAATGACCCAAGAAGTGGTCAGAAGACAGACTGAAGAAGAAGGAAGAGATTGACGAAGAGGCCTACAACCTGATCGTGATGAATCTCTCTGACAGTGTGCTTCAAAAGGTAGATGGATTCAAAACTACTCTTGGTTTATGGGGTAAGTTAGAGTCTTTATATGTTTTGCAGTCTGCACCAAATCTGGCTTTCTTAAAGGGAGCCTTATTCTCATATAAAATGGATAATTCAAAGTCTATTGAGGAGAATTTAGATGAGTTCCTTAAGATGAATTTGATATTGAAAGGCACATACCAAGAATTAGGAGAAACAAGTCTTGCCATGATACTACTAAACTCTTTAAAGAATGACTACCAAGTAGCCAAGAATGCTCTATAGTACTCAGGTACTATACCCAGTGTAGATTTGATTGTTGCCGTACTTAAGGCTAGGGAGTTAGAGCTTAAAACCCTTAAGAGAAACAACAATACTCTGTTTGTGAATGGCAGATTAGAAACTGGTCAATTTAGCAAAGAAAACCAGCCTAGTCAAGGGGGTAAGAATAAGAAGAGATGGAAAGGGAATAGTAAGGCCAAGACCAAAACTAGGAAGTGTTTCTACTATAGCAAAACAAGTCATCTAAAGAAAAACTGCTTTGACTGGAAGAACAAACATAAACTAGGAAATACACAAAATAACTTGACCATCACTAGTAACCAAACTGATGAACTAGAAGTCATAACAATGTCAATATCTAACACTACGATGACATGGGTGCTAGATTCAAGCTGTACTTTCCATACGAGCCCAAATAGGAGTTGGTTCCAAGACTTTGAAAATTCTGAACATGAGACAGTGTACAATACTTAAGTCAGGCCATGTGAAGGAGTTAAGTATTGTAAGCCCCCTATAATGCTTCTATAAACTGATGGTTGATCAAAAGGATCACTATCTTCTTTGCCTAATTTAGTCCCTCTAGCCATGGGAGTATTGCAAGGTTTGCAATCTGCCATTCCCGCCTTTAGAAATAGATACTAAGCATACTTAGACTGAGTGAGTAGTAGTCCTAAACTATTTCTGTCAACCTCAAACCCAAGGAAATAATTCAATGCACCTAAAGCCTTCAAAGCAAACCTCTTGTTGAGATCTTCTATAATCTGAGTAATCAAGGAGGGATCAGTACCTGTGATAAGTATATCATCTACGTATACAAGCAAGTAGATGATTTGGTTGCCTTGTTTGAAGTAAAACAGACTTGTATCTGAAATAGAGTTAATGAAACCCCCGTCAATTAGAGAATTCTTCAGCTTGTCCAACCATGCTGTAGGGACTTGCTTGAGTCCATACAAAGCTTTGTTGAGCTTGCAAACATGATGAGGAATTAGAAATCAGCAAAGCTTTCAGGCTGTATCATGAAAACAGATTCTATTAGTTCACCATTCAAGAAAGCATTGTTAATTTCTAGCTGTTGAATTTCCCATTGATTGTGGACAGCTAGTGATAGAATGATCCTGATTATGGCTAGTTTAACTACTGGAGAAAATGTATCGAAGTAGTCAAGGCTTGGGGTTTGTTGAAACCCCTTGGCTACCAATCGGGCCTTGTACTTTTGAAGTGAGCCATCAGGTTTTAACTTGGTTTTAAAGACCCATTTGCAACCTACTGAATTCATTCCTAAAGTAGAAGGAACTAGCTCCCAAGTGTTATTACAAAGAAGAGCATGAAATTCTTCTTCCATTTTTGTTTTCCATTCTGGAATGGTGAGAGCTTCAGCAACTGTTTTTGGTTCAAAAAGAATAGTTTGAGTGGTTAAATAAGCCTGACCTACAGTGTGGCTTGTTGAAGCTTGTGAAGTTTTTGACCTAGTCAGCATAGGGTAATGATTAGCAGTTGTGGTTTCCTTTGGAAAGAGGAGCACCACTTCAAGTTGTAATCCAGGAGAACAAGGATCTAGAGAACCATTTGAGATAGTTGTAGACATCATAGCAATTGTTGGAACTGCATCAAAAGTAGAATGAGGCACTGAAGATGAATTGATAGTGTGATTAGCAGCAGGCACGTTTTCTTTTGTAAAAGGCAACACCACTTCCAATTGTATTCCAGGTGAACAGAAGTCAGGAGGCACACTTAAGTAAGTGGAATTTGCCATATCAGTAGTTGTTGTTTCTACAGGTTTGCTTCCAGTGGGAATGTCATGAGAAGTGAGGTGGGATGCTGATGAAGAAGGCATGGTGTTAGTAAAGATATTGATGGTTTCTCTACATATTTTTGCTGAATCATTAGGATAAGAATTTGGACTAGAGCTTGAGCTGATGCAGTGATTAAGGGTCTATGATGAAACATCTCCTATTACATTAGACTCTAAACTTGAACTTGAGCCTGCAATATCAGAATCTTCGAAAAGAAAACAGTTAAATCCATCTTTAAAAAGAAATGTTGTTTCATTAAATTTGCACTGTTGAACAATATAAACCTTCCCTGAAGCTGAAAGACAGTTATATCCTTTATGGGCACTATTGTAACCTATAAACACACATCTTTCAGTGTGATAAGATAGCTTATGTCGCTAATATGGTCTAATAAAAGGATAACAATAGCATCCGAAGACCTTAAGATCAGTATAAATTGGTTCTTGCTTGAACAACTTCTGAAAAGGAGACAGATTCATAATTGGAGTTGAAGGCAGCCTATTGACAAGATAGGCTACTGTGTTAAAGGCCTGCCACCAGAGACAAAGAGGCATGCCAGCATGTGCTAATAAAGTCAACCCAAATTCAGTGATAATCCTATGTCTCCTCTCTATTCTTCCATTCTGCTGTTGTAAGTATATATAAGGATGCCTAAAATGGATACCATGTTGTTGAAGATAACCAGCAAAAGGTCTAAACTCACCTCCCTAGTCAGTTTGTAAACACTTTATTTTAGCATTCAACTGATTTTCAGCAAAGCAATGAGACTAAGTAAAGACTTTAAAAGATTCAGATTTTAATTTCAATGGATAAATCCACATGTACCTGCTATAATCGTCTACAAACAACATATAGTATCGAAATCCCTCTGAAGAATAAACTAGTATAGGTCCCCATAAGTCAGAATACACCAATTCAAGTGGACCATTGGCTTGAAGGTTACAGGCAGGAAAAGAAATCTGATGCATTTTGCCAAATTGGCAAGCTTCACAAAAATTCAAGCTTTTATTCTTATCAAAATCACATACAGGAACTTTATTCAGTATCAACTTTAAAGTTTTCTCTTGTGGGTGCCCTAACCGAGCATGCCACAGAGCTGGAAGACTAACAGCAACATCCAAATAATCTTTATTCATACAGTTATGACCACTATTGTGATTCTCAACATGTAGACTACTATTATTACTAGAGGGGATATCAGAGTTGGCCGAAATAGCAACA